ATATAAATCATATAGTGAAATTGGAATATGATGCAAATGTCTTCATCATCTGAAATTCAAGGAATTTTGTGAAAATATTTGCTCTAGCAACAATATATTTATGTTTTGTAGACCCAGTGGTGAATATATCATCAGTGGTATGGTTCGTTAACTCAGTAACAACTAATAGTTCAGGATTCATCAGAAATATGTTCAGCTTACTGAGCCCATATAGTTTCTACGTAACTGTAGCATGGCCGTTCTGCGCCTTTGACGAGTAAGAAAAATCTGCACCAGAAGTTTGCATCTGAAAATAGTACAATATCTCATACTAACAGGGGTGTTTCGCATGTCAGGTCCTCATTTCTGAATTCATTCCATATTATGGAAAACATAAAAGTTTCGAGAGGAAATATTCATACTACCTCATAGATTGAAGCGACTTCATTTTTTATTAGTTAGTTATTGAATGAATTTAGAACTCAAAAGCATTGCATACATGAACCAATACCAGAAAACGCTGTTTTGATCTGCCATACAAGTCGTCAGTGATACTAGTATGAATGAATGGAAAGTAGGAACTCATCTGTCCTTAACCCCCTTTCGAATATGCCACTAATGTGATACTCAAACATAGGTCATCATAAATTCAAGCCAGAGCTTCAATGGATGCATTTTTCAAAGCCAAGCTTCAACATTGATCTTCAAATAAATGAGAAATCCAATGAGAAACTGTTTTGAATATTTCTCTGTAGTTTTCAACACAAATCAAATATGTTTGGTATTGAATCATTAATTCAAAGCTTTTGGACTCTCCTAATTGTTTAATTCCTGGGTATGCAGTGAAAGCTACATAGAAAGGAAGAAAGCGATTTTTCACTTGGCGGTCTATATCACCGCAGAGTCAGGTGACATTAGACAAGACAAACGACACTATGAAGAGATGACTTAGTACAACAATTTGAAAGGATTCAAAGGGCTATCATATGTATTTTAGGTTATTGGCTGATTTTCTATTGTTTTACTTTAGCCAAAACGGGTCGGAAATGGTAACAACTATGGTATGGAAATAAAATAACGAGTATCTACCTGCTCCTAATGAACTCTAGTTGAATATAAATGCGTCATAATGAATCTCATAAATAATAATTGATGAATAATTTTTATATTATTATCGGGACGTATAGCACTTGGCGTAGATCTCACCTTTCAGGAACTTCAAAAGTCATTTCGATAATGACAAAATGTTTTTGCTAGGTTTACCTCATATCTGATAGGTATCTTACAAATTGTGTTTGCAATTAAATCCCATATTGAGGTTGCTGCGGTAGCAATGGGCTTGTTTCATACTATGGAAAATGATACTGGTTTGCTTATAGACTGATCATTAGGGGTATGGTCGGCCGGTAGCCAAGTGGTTCCGCGTGGGTGCTTTGTTCACTAACTCGAATTGACTGCCGTGTTGGTCGGTGGTTCAAGCCCTAGTATGAACGATCGATCTTCACTTGCTATCGTCCAACCCGTGTTAGGAATCACACGTTAAAAAATAAGACCTCGTTAATCCTTAGCTCGCACAAGTTTCGATTTCTGAGGGTTGTCGTTCATAGGGGTGCGACAGCTGGTTAACGAAAAACAGATTTTATATTATACTTATCAAGCCTAATCGGTCACCTAATTTGCAGACAAAAAAAACAATTCAAAAAGCAAGAATTCAAATTGGCCGCGTGTCTATTGACCAATAAAATTGATCGTATCTAGAGCGGAGTTGCCAAGTGTATAGGTAAGTTACTTCATATAATGAATTCAGGTACCCAATAGGATGAAATGATGAGAAAAAAATTTGGCGAAAGCATTGAAAAGAAATGACTACAATCCTTCCACTCTTCCAAGACTTTATAGAAATCATATAAAAAGTGACTATAAATGACAGGGGAATGCAAATATGGAATTTGATGACACAGTTTTTTATTTCAACTTCAAGTATTCTCCACAGGAAGTATTATCTGGAGTTTAAGTAAAAGTTTTAATGATGTTCATTCAATGAGTTTCGCATCAGTACTGCCGCCGCATGTTGTCTTTTCGGTGAAGTGCGCAGACTTCCCGGCACACAGCGCGGCGTGGTGAAAATGTCTATGCATCAGGCCTTCCAGAGGCGTCGCACAAAAAAATTGTCTAAGTAACAGTTTGACTGAACAAAATGAATTGATATTTTTGCAAAAAAATCAAATGCTTTTCATTTTACTAGAAAGAGGTATGTATGTAGGAATGGTTTTTTTCATAATAAATCGCAGTTGTACAGATTGAGGATTGTAGAATGAATTGAATATTTGAAATGATTCTTTAATCCAGTTTGCTATATTTTTTTATTTTCATGACTGTATATTATTGAATAATGTATAAAATCATAGTTTAGGAAGGTAAATATTTTGTGATTTTTCGACTTTGTGTACTGATGTTAGATCTAGAACATAGTTCCAAACATGATTTTTCGTGTACATTTTGTTTCATTTGTAGAATTTTCCATTATTTGAATCGTTAACTGGTTCATATACACTTCCATAAATAAACTGATAATTATAGGCTCCGTAAATTTTACGATTCGGCAATATTGATTATTTCTATTGTTCCTATTTGTCAATCGAACAAGAAGCGGGAATAGGGCCGTGACGTTACCACCCTATCACATTCGATTTTTAATAATTAATTACGGGAAAACTACGGTTCTAAGAGAGATGAAACAAAGTGCACTGTTTTTCAATTTAAAATTTCTATCAAGTGAACTTTAAACCAAAAATCATGATACAAGCCTATTCTGGTATCAAAGAAAAAAGGCGGAGCTTCCGATCTGTGATTTATACATTCTGTGATATTACAGCTCAGCTTTGCTGTTAGGATGTTAGTTTCTGAGGAAAGTCGGTTGACTTACTTACTAGAATATATAAGTTTGATTCCATGGTGCAATAGGATGCTAGTATAAGTATCTGTTCATATGCCGCTTTCGAAACACATTTGGTTATTTTGTGACTTTTTTCATTCTTGAGTTATTTCCATCAGTACTGTTCTCATTTTGATACTCTGTATACATAATCAACAAGATGATTTCATTAAACCACGACTTTCAAAGAGTAGTTCACTATGATTATCAGGCTGAATCCCATCTTTTTTATTTAAAGAAATTGACCCCTAGTTGATGTTTTGATTGGCGTCCGGGTTCTGCTGTGGTCTGCAGTTTCAGTTAACACACCTAAAATCTATTAATTTGTGAAAACTTCAAAAGATTGACTTTCAAACCTCTCTGGTCCAAATGGAATACTTCATAATCATTGTTGAACTCATGCCCTTTTGTCGAAAAATGGTTTGCGAATGGGAATTGGTCCCCACATTCAGAAAATTACTTGTATGGTATTTTTATTCTTCGGGAATATGTTCTCCCCGTTTGGCCAATATGAAGTTTTGGACAAGAACAACAATTCAACTTATTTATTCTTGATATATACGACACTCCAGTTTGGTCTAAAATTATTATTTGTTCGGTAAGTCACGTTCAAGACTAGCCTTTTCAAAAAAATGAGCAATGTGGTTGGTGGGTTCACCAAATTAAGTTGATGTCCTATGGCTCTCATTACTGTTCATTGAAGTGGGATATATCTGGTGAATGGTTTGTATCAAGAGTATTTTGAAAAAATAGAGTTGATTATATTTATCTTGTAACCGTTGTTGACAGCGACTTGTTTGATAAAATTCAATGAAAACAAGACCCCAGTGTCAGTTATATCAGGAGTATATAAGTAGACTTGTGACTCTTGTTCAAAACTTTATATTGGCCAAACGGGGAGTACCTTTTCTCAAAGAATGAAAGAACATAGAAGTAGTTTCTTAAATGTGATGACCAATTCCATATTAACAAACTTTCAATAGAAGGGCATGAGTTCAACCACGACTATTACATTTGGAAAGAAAGCGTTGGAATTGAATATTTTGGAGTACATAGAAGGAATATATTTCAGAATTTCGATCATTTACTGAATGACCAAATGTAATCCAATTCTTTTTTCTCCTCAATCAATTTTTTAATGTGGGAATTGGAAGTTCAAGTTGTTCATAGAATAAGATGGAAGATTTTTTCTTTCTGAACTCAGGTGAATTTATTGGGTATTGAGTAGTCATGATTTCAATTTTTATTATATGATCCACAGATTGTTCGTTTCCATTTGATGAGTTTGAAATTTTTTTATGATGTTTAAAAAATTTGATTAGTTTTTACTCAAACTCAAATAAAGTTATTAGTCACCACCTATGTAGAAGGTTACATTATTCAAATTGTTATTAAATAAAGAACAAATTGAGTAAAATTCAGGCAATATGAAAACGCTTGAGGAAGCTATTGTATAGCGAAACACGTGTTGCACTTTTGTGAACTGTCCAGTAAACATCTCACAACAAAGTGTTACTTGATTTTTTTTTGGTAAAATTATATCCATTTTTTCCGATATTTAAAAAAAATGAATAATTTTCTGAATGGATGCAAAATAAAAATGTAAACATAATTGGAGAAAAGTTTTCAGTTGCCTATTTTATGATGCATCGGCGATAAAACATATTTGCCAATTTTATATGTCGCCTATAAAATCATTAATGAAACAATAAATAAAAGATGGAAAAATGACTGTTGGGGATGGATGGATTATTTGAGTAAATATACAAATCGGCTTTCGCTTCTTTAGGGAAGCTTCATTCTCCTATAAAGATAGTGTCATTAATGCACTCAATAGAAAAAAAATCGAGCGGTCTATTTCCCATGATAATATGACTCCTAAAATCATTTTCAATCACTTGATCAGGGTCAAAAATTGATAGAGGGCCAACGTTCTGATTGATGGCCGACTAAACGCAACGTTCGATAAAAACAGAGGAAACGCCACAAATTCGTATAGAGATTAAACGAATGTAGCACGTGACAGTCAACTGTTTATTTCAGTCACAATAAATATGTACGTAATTAAAATGTTCCGACAAATACCGTATTTTCAACCGATGACCAGACGCGTTTGCACCATGCTTCGTTGAGTACTTATTCAAAGTTTCATGGCATGTTGTGCGCTAGTGGTTTGTTTAGATACAAGACTGGTTTTATCATTAACAGCTGATATCATTTTATCGACTATCGAATCAGTGAAATAAAATCGAGACCTGATAAAAGTACAATGTAAACGACACCTCGGTGCGCTAAGTTCAGTGTTTTTTTTCACGTGTAGTTGAATTTCGAAAATGGAACCGAACGCTTCTGCCCCCGATGGGGGCTGGGGATGGATGGTGGTCATAGGGGCAGCAATGATAAATGTAAGTGATTTTTCCTGAAGAATCCCAAATAGACCCAATGCATATTTTTTTAACTAGTTTGAATAATACTTCGTGAAGTAGAAGGGACAATGAAGAAGTTTGTTTTGGTGAATTAATTGGAAGATTGCCAAACCTAAAATAACTTTTTTCATTGGATTCCATAGTTTGCAACAACCTATCATTCGTATACACGAAATAATTGAAAATAAGTGAACGATATATGACTTTTTTTCTCGAAATTAGGCTTTATATAACAATGCAAAATCCACTGCAAGATTCACAACGCGACACTTCTCTGGTATGGATGAAAAAGTTAATTTCTTTTCATGAAAATCGAGAAAATCATTGTAATAGAATTTTTTATATTTCCATCTATTTCCAAGATATTTAGGGGAAATTACTTTATTTCATTTTTCTAGTATTTCTCGAAGTATTGGAAGTATAAAAAAATATATGGACATAAATTGACAAACTTCAACTTTTGATGTCTAATTTCTTGAAGATACTAACATTGATGTACAATTCAGTTTTGACATCGCTCAGAATGTCTGAAGGCCTTTGTCTATATTCTTCATCAAATTGTCATGAAGGTGTGCCGAATGTCATAGGAATTCAATTACAGTTTACTCTTGAGTGTATTATGAAAATACTTTTCGAATATAATAGTGTTATACATTTCAATGTATTATAACGGATAAAATATCATACACATTTTTTTATCTAATAAATATTTCTTGAAGATACTAACATTGATGTACAATTCAGTTTTGACATCGCTCAGAATGTCTGAAGGCCTTTTCCTATATTCTTCATCAAATTGTCATGAAGGTGTGCCGAATGTCATAGGAATTCAATTACAGTTTACTCTTGAGTGTATTATGAAAATACTTCTCGAAAATAATAGTGTTATACATTTCAATGTATTATAACGGATAAAATATCATACACATTTTTTTATCTAATAAACTAATATGAGTAGTAGCGAGGACGATCACCCTGTGATCACGCCATCTATGGGATCTACTGAGAATTCAAATCACAGGTAGTTCTCGGTCGATATTGATTATGGATGCTAAGTTTCGGCTTTGATATGTTCCTTATGAAATTTTGGCTATTTTGCAGTAAAATTTCTAGAATATGTTAAAATGTTCATTTTGAGAAAGCTGTGAGAGTTTATATACTTGCATCTCCCATTTTTGCTGTAGGATTACATAGGATGACTTCGAAAAAGTTATTTTCCTAATTTATAATACTAAATTCGGTATAAATTGCATAGAAACCTATTATTTTGTTAGCTTGATAATAATTTCGTTGGCTTGATGATTAAGAAGTTCTTCATGCATGTAGTTGACAACTTCTAAAATCATGTACTTATGATGTACTGTTTGGAACCTTTGGTGTAGTAATGAATATTACTGGAGTTTTTTCCCAAGACCAAATCGTTATTTTTACACATCGACACGTGTTTCGATCACCAAGTGTTCATCTTCAAGAGGAAGATAAAACTGATCACCAAGTAATCATCTTCCTCATCTTCCTTTTGAAGATGATCACTTTGTGATCGAGGTGTAAAAATAACGATTTGGTGTTGGGAAAAAACTCCAGTAATATTCTAAAATCATGAATTCAACTTGAATGTTAAGGTTTACAATGATTTGAAAAGAACTGCGTAGACACACTTTCGAAATCGAGCATTTTTTTCAATTTCTAATGAAAAATCTTGTAGAAACTTCCTCATACTCGTATTGAAGAAATGAATACTGTAGAAGAATCCAAATAGATATTTGGGGCAAAAACGATTGGGACTCTGAAAACCCAATTAATACATTAAATTCAGGTTGGTTACGTGCAAAAGTAAAAATAGATGACTAAAATGGGAACAATATGAAAAGTAATTTCATTTCACACACTTCGGGTATTTTCCACCCTAGAATGCAAAATAGTGAATAACATTTTCAGAAAATGCCGAGAAATATATTTCTACATATATTTCGTATACATTGAATATTGTTGCCTCTACACTCAAATATGTTAGTGTAAAAGCAACGACTTGAGATGGGAGAGAAGTACGAAAATAAAATCCATAAATATTTATTAATATTCAGTTTTTGCTTGTGGCATCCCAAGATATAATTATGAGTTTGATTAGTCAAGCAGATAAACATCTATTTTTAAGCTAATCTAAGTAGATTCGTGACTACATAGCTTCTTAATTACTTCGGTGAACTGGAACGATCGAATAAATATAATTTATCAAGGTAATACTGAAGTTTATATCTTTCGCAAAATAGGATGCATACTTATCAACAGTTGCATTGAGATTATCTTAAAAAGTGAGATGTACTTGATCTAGCGACACAGTTACTTGTTATCGTCTATTTCACTCACTTTCTTATCACAATTGAACTCTAGCATTGTGTTTGAAAATATTTCATGCTGATTTTCATCGGTTCGGACTTCCACTGTCTAATATTTTACGAAATGATATGAAATTCCTGGAAGATCCCTGGTAGATTCAATAACATTGAAATTAATAGCTGAAAATAACAAATACATTAGGCAATTATATTAACCGTAAGACCTTTCGTCACTTTCACTATGGAGGAGTGAGTCCACAACAAATTGCCATTTTTAGACGTATTGGTGAAGAGGACCGACAGACACTAAGTGAGAAACATCTGTATACCGAAAACCCAGTCACACGGGATAGTATCTGAACCACAAATCTAACCACCATCAATCGACTGAAAGAGGAATCAAGTCTTTAGTAAACCGTGCTTTTGGGCTTTATTATATGAAGGAAGGTCTTGAGAAGGAACTAGGCATCACGAAAAAAGATCTTCAACGGAATGGTTACTCCAGAGTGATGGTGGAACAAATTCTGGCTAAAAGATAGCAAGAACCTCGCAAGGAAGAGAAGCCGTTACAACCAGTACTTGCACGGAATGGATAAGAAGAATTGGGTCCAAGTATAATATAAGAACCTGCTTCAGATCCGGAAACACTATCCGTAGTAGCCTCACTAAAAACCAGGCCACCAATCGGGGACTGCGATTCCAAGCAGGACCGTCGCCATGGGAGGGATGGGGGAAGCTTCCCCTCTGCTTTTTCGACTTAGGAAAAAGTTGGGAAAATTTGGGCCGTGAAGATAGAAAAAAATAATAGTAAAAAAATGAATGAAAATTTATGGAATAGAAATGAGAGAAAAGAAAGGGAGAGGTAATAAGAAAAAAGAAATAACTGAAGGAAGGTTGGGATTTCCCAACATGCATAACTTGGAGATCCCATACTTTGAAATTCGGATTTGTTTGAAAACTTCAAAAAAGTTTAATTTCTCCCAAGTAAGAGAACAGTCCTGAATAGTCCACAAATTTTGAAGTGACAATTTTACAAAATTATCAACTTTTCGCGGTTTTTTCGACTTGGAAAAGTTGTGAAATTCCGTGCTGTGAAAAGAAAAAATACTAATAGAAAACGATAACCACAATATTATGCAAGTGTTGTTTCCTTTCATTTGTATTGAATATTCCTATACATGGTGGATATGGTGTAAGGACCTTGGTCCAAAGTAGAATAATTCCCATTATTATTTTTACAATCACCAAAATGTATTGTTGTTTGTGCATACCCTAACGGGCATAAGCATTCAGCCAATCTTTGGATAGCTAAGAAAGAAAATCAGTATATTATAGTAGTAACTAATCCCTCGGCTTTCATTTTTTCGAAAGTTGGGAAATTTTGCTGGTGGGGTTGGGAGAATTTGGACTCCCTACCCTCCCCTGGTATTTCTTTCCGCTACGGTCCTGATTCCAAGAATTGCATTTACCGGATACCCTGCGAGCGCGGAAAATCCAATACCGGAGAAACTAGGAGGCCATTGAAAGTCCGCATTATCGAGCACAAAAACACACACAGCGCGGAGAAAGCACCAAATCATGAATATCGGAGGATGTTCAGACTCATCAACATAACATCAAGAGGTCCCAAAATGAAATCAGGAATACTGGTTCAGAAAGAAATTCAAAGAAGCTGCATATATGTTGTCCAACAACGCATTCAGTCAACTAGCGTAGAGATACACAACACATGGAAATCCATAGTCAAGCGGAAAACGGCCAACTCCTGCCAAACGGCCAGCACACGTTAAACTGGTGAAGCGGGAAGAGGGGATGAGTGAAAGTACTCAAATGACCTATTAATAGTCATCTTTCGGAGGAATAAGCACAGTCATCATCTGAAGAAGATTTTGGATACTAACAATAGAAACTTACTGAAATAAATTGGCTTGAAATCTTATAATTTTTTAGTTCTTTCAAATTGTTCAATTTTCAATTGTTGCTCGTATTCTATCGTTATTCCAATTCAGGGTTTTTCTCTCTCAATATAATTGTTATTTTAATTTATTAATTTTAATTTTATTGATTTTAAAATATTTTATATCATATCAGAACATGGAAGTCCGAATTAATGAAATGAACTCTAGCATGTCCAAATTCAAGACAGCTGTGAAATTATATTTTATTAATGTTCAACTTGGAATTTTCCATATTTCGCTCTATTGCATTTCTCCAAATTTCCCAATTCGTTTAGATCAAAACTACCACTCGCTTAGATACCTCCATATTTTTTTCATAAATGGTTCAATGTTGAATCATTTCCTTAAATTGAAAATTCTACTTCTTTTTTATCAATTCTGCTGCCATTAAACTGTTTGAGTGTTTTTCACCTAGTGTGTAGTGTTAAATTACATTTTGTTATTTGGTTAATAATGACTTGTTCACTGGATTATCAGCAACAAAGACTATTATTCTGAATGAGTCAATGTTTAGTGTCGGATTTTGAGAGGTAATTTCAAGCGATTGGTTTGATTGAAGAAACAATGTTCGACAGGGTTCGTATCTGTAACCAAATAGTATGCCAATTCGTAATCGAAGAATTTTGTTAATTGTATAACAAACAGTAGGTATTTGCGAAATTGGGCCCGGTTTTTTGAACTCAGA